CGTTTATTTTCCCTTTTTTTTACTTTGAAATGTCATAATAAATCATGGGAATAAAAAACAAACAAACACGGTATCAATTATATGATTGATATATTTGCAGACAAGCCCAACATCATCAAGTGTGAAGGAGCTCAAAGGTCATTAGATAACTACCTAACTTGGGCTGTTTCAACAGAGACACTGGCACGTAGTTTTGTTACCAAAATTCGAATGATATTCACTAAGAAAAAGGTATTGATCTGTAAAAGGAAAAGGAAATACTTATACACAGTATTTTAATTAATCAAATCCTATACTCAACAAAATGGAATGACTTCACGTTAATCTGTTAAAAGTTAAAATGTACTAAAATAATCCTAAAACTGATAAATAATTTTTTGTAAGGTTTCAGAAAAGAAAAAAGGGTTATTAAATAATATTTTTATTTACAAATATAGAAACAAAAAAGCATTAATCTGTTAATTATTCTGCAACACTTTACAAAAGCTGTCGTTGATTCTATTAGAAAAATATGGTATTGCCATCTATTGGATAAAGGTAGAACTAAATTTATTCAACTGGGAAAATGTATACAATACCATATATAAAGAGTTTTGTCAAAGTTAATTAGTTCGAAGGAGCTATTTAGAATATAAATAAAAGATATATCTTTTAATGTAACAAAGGATTACGAAGTACATAACTGATGTCAAGCTGTGACACACACACAGTCAAATATTTTTTGTCATGAATATGAAAGAAAATTAGTAAAATATTTAAAAATACTAATCAAATAGATCTGTTGATATGAGTTTGTATATTTTTCTAATACATTAACTTCAGAATCGGAATGACGTATCACGATACCAGTAACGCTATCATCATTGGTCCTGTGAGTATCCAGATAGAAACCGAATTACCATAACCCTTCCAACACAGCGTGTTAAGGTCACGTGACAACACCAAATTCCAACTGAGAATGAAAACTGTAGGAATACCTGTAAAAAAAAAGTCCAGTGTCACTCAAATATCGGATACCTCTCTTATATCTGTTTGAGCAACAACAGAAATACACATGAAGCTTGTAGGAAAAAGTTAATTACAAACTAAATGATGTTGAACATGCATAAAAACATTAATTACAAAATAAATGATGTTGAACATGCATAAAATCATTAATTACATAATAAATAATACTGAACATGTATAAAATCATTAATTACAAAATAAATGATGTTGAACATGCATAAAATCATTAATTACATAATAAATAATACTGAACATGTATAAAATCATTAATTACAAAATAAACAATACTGAACATGTATAAAATCATTAATTACAAAATAAATAATACTGAACATTATAAAATCATTAATTACAAAATAAATAATACTGAACATTATAAAATCATTAATTACAAAATAAATAATACTGAACATGCATAAAATCATTAATTACAAAATAAATAATACTGAACATTATAAAATCATTAATTACAAAATA